AGCCCAGGAGTTGGAGGTTGCTGTGAGCTGTGATGCCATGGCACTCTACCCAGGGGGACAGCTTGAGGCTCCGTCTCAAAAAAAAAAAAAAAATTCGCGAGATGAACTGGCTACTTTTTTATATGGAAGAGCATTTTTACTTTTGAAATAATGACTTACAGAATGTTTATTTATAAAAAATATATTCATATGTATTCAGACTTGTGTATTCAGAAGACATCTATTTGAGAATAAATTGCATAATAAATAACAGAACTTCCACAATTGACAGTATTTGTTGGCAATGATACAATTTGAGCTTTCAGGCGAAAATCAGAATTTTATAAAATTCATGTTTTACCACGAGTTTGAAACTTCCTGTTTAAAGACTTTTCTGATTAGATTGTTGATGATACTAACCAGTACGATTGTTTTGATTTTGTGTAATGTGTCAGTGTTTGGAAGGTTTGCATAACTCTGTGAATCACTATTTTCTGAACACCAACACATGATGTGACACAATAACCTATGGGTAAAAGCTTTATTCAAAATTCAAGGTAGGTCAGTGAATTTTAATCCAACATTGTCTGAAAATTTGTTGATAGGGTTCCAGATTCCACATTGTAACTCTGTAAGAAACTACCGCTTGTTCAAATTTTGGAGTCACCAAAACAGCATGTTGTAACATACTGCATGCTGAAGCAGATATGGGAACCAGATATTTCCTTGGGGTCGCAGCTCACCTCAGCAGGGTTGATGTGCATTCTTCAACCTTCTCTCTTGGCTCAGCTCCAAACCATCAGCTTACTTGCTTAACTCTACTTCTAGATATGAGCCTCTGTGGAAAGCTGGCTCCAGTTGGCATCTTGCCTCTGCCCCCTCTTAAGCCAGATATTAAAGAAATTTATATAAGTATTAAAAAGTCCCACTCTTTTGGCTGGGTGCCTGTGACTCAAGTGGCCAAGGTGCCAGCCACATACACCTGAGCTGGCCGGTTCGAATCTGGCCCGGGCCTGCCAAACAACAATCATGGCTGCAACCAAAAAATAGCTAGGCGTTGTGGCAGGTGCTTGTAGTCCTAGCTACTTGAGAGGTGGAGGCAGGAGACTCACTTGAGCCCAGGAGTTGGAGGTTGCAGTGAGTAGTGATGCCACAGAACTCTACCCAGGATGACAGCTTGAGGCTCTGTCTCCAGAAAAAAAAAAAGTCCCACTCTTTTACTAATTTGTTTTAGGAAATATAGTTCTTTAAAAAATAAAAAATGTAAAAATATACACAAATATACATTAATATACATAATATATTCTATATTTCAAACACTTTTGGATTTCTAATTTTTTTGTTGTTTTTTGGTATTTTTTTTTTTGAGACAGTCTCACTTTGTTGTCCCCTGTAGAGCGCTGTGGTGTCATAGCGCACAGCAACCTCAAGACTCATGGGCTCAAGTGATTCTCTTGCCTCAGCCCTGAGTAGCTGGACTATAGGCACCTGCCACAATGCCCGGCTATCTTTAGAGACGGGGTCTGGCTCTAGCTCAGGCTGGTCTCGAACTCATGAGCTCAGGCAGTCCACCCACCTCAGCCTCTCAGAGTGCTGGGATTACATGTGTGAGCTACCGTGCCCGGCCTCTAATTCAGTGTTGACAGAGAACTACATAAACACAAACTCTGAGTTTCTCAGTGATGTTCTTTAGCTTTATTGATAGATAATTGACATAAACTGAACACATGGAAAGTATATGACTTAATAAATTTTGGTATATGTATACACTTTTGAATTCATCTTTCCTGGTCAGCGTTCTCCAGAGAAACTGAAGCAGTAGGATATGCATTTATATTTATTCAGAAATTGTTTTAAGGAGCCGGCTCCTGCCCTGTGGGGCTAGCACAGGCCCGCAGGCTGGAGACTCCGGCTGGAATTGATGTTGTAGTGTTGAGTTTGAGATCCCGAGGGCAGGCTGGCAGGATTTCACAGGACACTGACAGGAGTTCTGTTACGTTCTGAAGGCGGAATTCCTTCTCTGGGAAATCTCAGGTTTTGCTCTTTCAGTCTTCAGCTGATTGGATGGGGCTCACCTACACCATCTAGGGTGTAAACCGACTGTGGATATTTGTCATATCTGCAGAATATCTAGACCAGTGTCTGGCCGGCCAGGCTAACCCGTAGGGTCTGACTGTCACACTGTCCCCCCACGGCTCCAGTGGTCAGCGCGCTCAGCACCTGCGCTGGGCACTCCTGCCGCTTTGCCTTCCTTGTCCCTCCATCCTCAGTAATTTCTGAGAGTGTGAAGAAGCCAGTTCTGTCTTAGTCCATTTAGCGTTCCTATTAAGGAACACCCCAGCCTGGGTAATCTATAAAGAAAAGAGGTGCACTTGGCTCCCAGTTCTGCCGGCTGGAAGGCTGGGCATCTGGAGACAGCCTCAGGCAGCTTCCAGTCCCACCTGCAGAGTTCACAAGGGGAGAGGAAGAGGGGAGGCCGAACCAGGCGCTTCCTAACAGCCAGCTCTAGGGGAACTGACTAAGCAAGAATTCACTCAGTACTGCCCTTCCTGGGGGACCCGCCCATTAGGCCCCTCCTCCAACATTGGGGAGGGAATTTCCATGTAAAGCTGATGGGGACCAACATCCAGACTATTGCATGTTATGACCCAGAATGTTTGAGAATGGCCATTTTATGGGTCTTCAGAACACATCTGAGGCACAAAATAAATAATTCCGTAAGAGTGCTTTGAAAAATGTTTTTTTTGTAATGTAGAAAAAGGAGAAATATTGAGGAAAGTTTTGATACCTTATTCCTTTCCTCTCGTCCTCCCGTCCTCCCCTCTTCCCTTCTCGCCCCCCTTCCTTTCCCCCTGCCCCGCCTCTGCCTTAGCAATTTTAATAGGCTGGTTTGCTAGAGTAGCATTTTTTTTTCCAAATGCAAAGTGGAATAGTTACTGTGAAAAAGCAAAGGGTCAAATAAATTCAAACAAAATCAAATAGGTTTCTTTACTGTAAGAATTTTCCGAGCTTTCAATATACTAAGTGCATTAT